ACAGCATGATGTGTCCTTTGGTCGGGGCGGCCAGAAATGCAAGAAGCAGAACCTAACATCGCCTTTGAAACTCAGAGTGGTAAAACAGAAAGTGAAGAAGAAGACAAAAAATCGGTCGTTAATTCATCTGGCTCCTCTTGTACCTTGTGATACTTGGATAAATAACAGGAGAGTGTCCGCCTGTATCCATATCCTCTTCATGTCGTTGTTGACACATAAGTCATTCACAAGGGATCTCCATTGTTGCCGGTCTGCTGCTTTTCTGCCCAAGGTATCCCATGTCAGTTTACATTTCTTCATTTCCCGTTCTGTTGTCCTTTTCCAGGTTTCCTTAGGTCGTCCACGTCTCCTTATCCCATCTGCTGTCCACCGGAGAGCTGTTTTTGCCAGAGTGTCACAAGGCATTCTGCAAACATGTCCAAGCCATCTCCATCGTCTTACTTTCATAACATTTGCCAGTTATACATATTTAATTTTCATCAGTTCTTCGTCTGAATGCTTTCTATGATATGGATTTAATGGGTATTTATATAGATCCATTGGTCATTATTCATCTGGCTCCTCTTGCAGTTTGCGAAGTTGGGATAAATAACAGGAGAGTTTGCGTTTGTATGCTTGCTATGATATGGATTGAATAGGTATTTATTCAGATTCATCGTCCTTTCAAACACAGTAATGTAAACATAAAGATCAATGACATACAATTAGAACAAGTTCAAGAATTCAAGTACTTAGGATGCATATTTACAGAAGATGGAAGACTCGATAAAGAGATACAGGCTAGAGTTCAAAAAGCCAATGCAGTCAACTACCAACTGGCCCCACTTCTTCGTCATCCAAAGATCTCGTTACCAGCCAAACAACGGATGATCAACAGCATTTTCATCCCTACGTTATGTTATCAGTGCCAAACGTGGACAATGAACAAATCACATATGCAAAAAATAACTACGTGTGAAATGCGATGTCCCCGAAGAGTCACAAACAATACACGAAGAGACAGAGTCACAAACGTCAGCATTAGAGACAAAGTTGGAACAAGAGCACACATGGAACATATTGAAAGACAGAAAATGAAGTGGTTTGGTCATTTAGTAAGAATGCAACCGGATCAGATTGCCTATAAAGCCTTTTACAATAGAACATCGGGAAGAAAGGCCAGAGGAAGACCCAGGAAAAAAATTGGATAGATGGAGTAGCTGAGTACGGTCAGAAGATCCAGAAAACTGTCACTCAAATCACGCGAGAGGCACTAAATAAATATTTTAAACCACGACACTGGACTGCAACCCGGTAAAAGTGAAGAAGACAATAAATAGATAGATTGTCCTTTCAAGACATGTCTCTACCTTACTGCCCAGGCTGTATGCTATGGAGACGAGGTCTGAGAACAAACACACTAAACACATGTGATGGCAACCACGGTACATGCCGCCAACATCACCCACTGAGTGCCGACTGGTCTTTAAAATATACGTATAGCACTATATGCCCAAGGGAGCCTAAGTGGTGTAGCGGCTAGAGGCTCACCTGCGGATCGGAAGATCGTGGGTTCAGTTCCTGACGGTAACGGAAAAAAATGTCCTTGGCTCCCAGGTCAACCCAGCCTTGAGCGGTCACTAGGGGGAGACCTAAGACCACATCACCCAGGTGCCGATTGGTCTATAAATTATAAGTCTAGTCCTAAATGTCCAATTCGCCTGAAAGCGTGGAGAAAGGTCATTTTTACTCTATGCCCAAAATACCTAATGGTTTGGGAAATGATCATTACGGTAGGGTTTGTTTAGAAAAATATATAACACATTAATGTTAAATAATACACATTATGTTTTTTTTTAAGCTGGACTGGAGGTTGTTACCCAGCTGTAAGTTCCTCAGCCACAGGGACTCAATGCTCGATGTGGATTTGATGATCTTCTCCGTGTAGACGCCAGCAAACCCTGAGCTGAGACACATGATCAGCACTGCGATGACCCCTGTAAACATCCCTGAACTATGACCTCCATTGGCGTCACATGGCTTTTTACTCGTGGAGCACTCACCTGATTTCGGGAACTGGACAGAGGTAGGAAAGTGTTTTCTTCAGAGTGTAAACATTAATCAATAATGCATTTATGAGCATGTATGTATTTATCAGTAATCATCTCTGAAAGTGTAAGGATTTCACATAAATGATCTTTGAGATTGTAAGCATTTATTTAAAATGTTTGTGAAAGTGTAAGCAATTATCAATAAGCCATCTCTGATAATAACAGACAGTTATCAGTAATTTTTGTGAGAATTTAAGAATTTATCAGTAATATAGCTATCAGAGTGTATATCAAGAGTGCAGTCAACTTGAGTTTTGCTATAACTAGAGTGCCGAGTCCCCCTAGAACATACACGATATGCTTTCTGAAGAGGCAGTGGGTCTATTCTTGTTCCCACTCCCGCTCCCCACATTGTGGCTTGAAATCCACACGGGGAGACCTGATAGGATGATGCTGGTGATCCACATATTATTCTCCTTTTAATACTGAAATAGTTTAATTAAACAATAAATCTGCATTTAGGTAGACGAGCTCCCACACAAAAATTTAGTAGTAGTAGTAGTAGTAGTAGTAGCAGCAGCAGCAGCAGCAGCAGCGGAGGAGGAGGAGGAGGAAGAGGGGGAGGAGGAGGAGAAGGGGGAGGAGGAGGGGGAGGAGGAGGGGGGAGGAGGAGGAGGAATGGAGGAGGAGGAGGAAGGAGGAGGAGGAGGAAGGGAGGAGGAGGAGGAGGAAGGAGGAGGAGGAAGGAGGAGGAGGAAGGGAGTAGTAGTAGTGGTAGTAGTAGTAGTAGTAGTAGTAGTAGTAGTAGTAGTAGTAGTAGTAGTAGTAGTAGTAGTAGTAGTAGTAGTTGGAGGAAGGGAGCAGCAGCAGTAGCAGCAGCAGTAGCAGCAGCAGTAGCAGCAGCAGCAGCAGCAGCAGTAGTAGTAGTAGTAGTAGTAGTAGTAGTAGTAGTAGTAGTAGTAGTAGTAGTAGTAGTAGTAGTAGTAGTAGTAGTAGATTTTACCCCACTAGGACATCACACAATTGATAAACACACGATGACACAAAGTGACACCATGCGGATGAGGAATACCCATGGAGAGGTCCCAGAAACAGCGTTCAGCCATTGGACCATAATTATGACAGGTCTATATTGCGGTCCCTGGCAAGAGCCAGGGTGGGTTTTTAGAATAACGAAAAATTGCATCCCGCAAGGGGATGAGTAGATTACTGGCACACACAAAACCTGGGAACAACATGAGTACACTGTCTTTACACCGGAATCTAAATAGTCATAAAATAAACACAGACACCTCAAAACACGAGGGAAGAGGGGGGGGGGGCATGGGAAGAGCTGCAGACAATAGCAAAATAGGACGACCTGGCGATAGTTGTTGGGGCCTACGCTTCACAGGGAGATATAATGGGCAGAAATATTGGAAGGTCTTACAGTCAATGCCGTGTGGCGTTGGGAGTATGCTAAACCGGACTGCGCGGTGACCGGGTGACGAACTCCCTGTGGTCCGGGTTCACTCCCGGGGAGTGGGCAGAAAAGTCACATTTTCTTCCAGATTCACGGTACCTATCATGGAATCAAGGCCGAAGGGTTGCGATATCCATAGTACCGAGCCAAAGGGTTAACAACTCATGGTTTCTGGATATTTAAAAAAAACACACACACAACCTGTCTCGTGTACTTTTAATCCGTTCTGACACAGATGATCTTCCATAATTCACTCCGTGTGGCGTTGGTAGTCATGTTTAAACACAACCTGCCTCGTGTACTTTTATCCGTTCTGACACAGATGATCTTCCATAATTCACGCCGTGTGGCGTTGGTAGTCATGTCTAAACACAACCTGTCTCGTGTACTTTTAATCCGTTCTGACACAGATGATCTTCCATAATTCACGCCGTGTGGCGTTGGTAGTCATGTCTAAACACAACCTGTCTCGTGTACTTTTAATCCGTTCTGACACAGATGATCTTCCATAATTCACGCCGTGTGGCGTTGGTAGTCATGTCTAAACACAACCTGTCTCGTGTACTTTGAATCCGTTCTGACACAGATGATCTTCCATAATTCACGCCGTGTGGCGTTGGTAGTCATGTCTAAACACAACCTGTCTCGTGTACTTTTAATCCGTTCTGACACAGATGATTCCATAATTCACGCCGTGTGGCGTTGGTAGTCATGTCTAAACACAACCTGTCTCGTGTACTTTGAATCCGTTCTGACACAGATGATCTTCCATAATTCACGCCGTGTGGCGTTGGTAGTCATGCTGATCCACAGCTTTCTGCTTGGTGTACTTTTAATCAGCTGTGTCACAGATGATCTTCCATGCCATGTCAACATGCCCAGCATCTTCTTTCTCTGTCTCCTTCTGCCCCCCCCCCCCCTTTTTTTCCCCCAACATTCCCACCATCATAATGTTCTCCAGCTTTCTTCTTCTCATGACATGGTCAAGGAAGTCGCCGTGACGTTGGCGGCTAGACGCCCGCCTGTTGATCAGAAGGTCGTGGCTTCGCGTCCTGGCGCAGCCGGACTTGTTTTCAGAAATGACCTTGGCTCCCAGGTCGACCCAACCGTGAGTGGGTACCAGGTGCAGTCCTGGAGAGTAAAGGCGGCCGGCATGATGCTGATCACATCACCCTCCCAGTGCCGATTGTTCTATAAAAATATAGGTCTAGCCCTATATTCCTAATATGCATAAAGGCGCAGAAAAAGGACACAAATAACACGACCAAAGAATACAGATCGTTTCCTTCTGACGTGGGTATTCAGAAGAAGATTTGCCTCGCAGAAAAAAAAAAAGGGGGGGGGGGTAGAATAGCATTTAATTGTCATTTAAGCAAAAGGACACAAAATGATAACCAAAGTCAAACCTGGACAATAACAACTCCAATAGTTAACAACAGCAAGGATGACCAGTGCAAGGCATCAAGGTGTCGTCGCAGCAAGCAAACAGAGAACACGGCAGTGGCCAGAATCTTCAGTTGATAGGTTACCTAAATACAGCGGAAACACTCTCAATTATGGTCGTCGGGTTTCGTCTTTTTCTGCTATTTTTATTATGTCTGTCCCTTATTTAAATAATTTTTTTTTAAATGAATACTTCTTTTATTTTTTCACACGTTTTTTTTTTTTTTTTTTTGGTGTGTGTGTGTCTTTCTTCTACTTCTTATTGTTTTCCTTTATTCTCGACTCCCCCCACTCCCCCACTCCCCGTCACTTATTTTTCGTCCTCTTACTCCTTTCTTCTTCAAATGTTGTCCGTCTTCTTCTTCTTTTTCTTTTTTTTTTTGTTGTTGTTTGTTCTTCTTCTTGTTCTTGTTCTTCCTCCTCTTCTTCTTCTTCTTCTTCTTCTTCTTCTTCTTCTTCTTCTTCTTCTTCTTCTTCTTCTTCTTCTTCTTCTTCTTCTTCTTCTTCTTCTTCTTCTTTTTCTTCTTCTTCTTCTTCTTTTTCTTCTTCTTCTCCTCATCCTCTTGCTCCATTTATTTCGTAAAGGGGGAGGGTTAATTGGGGAGTGGCGGAGTTCGTTTAATATATATTCTGTGATCGCTCAAATGTCACAAAGACTGTTCTTATCCGTCTACGCATCTTTGCTATAGTGTTTCAACTGGTCTGTTGATACCACAACATCCAGCTTATGAATGGAGGTGGAGGCGGTCACATTAGCTTTTCGCTGGCGACACACACACACATCTTTATCGTAACATACTAAGAAATCATACTGAAGAAGGTGATGACTGGCCTGCTTCGCCCAGAGTGGCAGGCTTCGCCTCGGAGGTGGCGGTGGAGAGGAACACTGTCTGGTTCTTTTCCAAGGGAAATGCCAGTGTGTTGGGAAATGAATAAACGGATAGACATCCTGTCTGTGCACAACTTGGTTGAATGATGATGCATGATAAGGCAGACATGGTTACGGTCTTATGGGAGCACGTGTACAGTTCGAAAAAGCAAATGGATCACCAGTCTGGTGAGAGTGGTAAAGCGAAGAGTGATGAGGGAATCTGACCAATACTCGGCGCTCACAGGAAAAGCAGGACGGACGTATAATCAGACTATTACTGGCACCACTGGTGAGAAAACTCTGCGTTGGCCGTTGAAGATGGGGACGACGTGCTTATGGGACTGCCCCGAGTGCTGTGATGTCGCTTCTTAAATGAACTCAATAAACTCAACTCTATGGTCTGTAATCATTATATTAATCAGTAAAGATCTCTGTAATTACTTGCCACCAGGGCATTCATTGCGTCTATATTGTGCATCTTTTTTCTAGCTATAGAGAACCCATCTCTACCTGTGAATTTACTTCCAATAGCCGCATGTGGTTCTCCAACAGTTAAATTGAAAACGTGTGTCACAATCCCACAGGGTGACATCTGTCTCCAACACTCCAGGATTAAATATCACTTAACAACGGGTGATTTGTGAGGTCGTGGCTTGGGAAAGAGATACATGATCGTTTCCTAGGTAATTAACCAGACTTTGATAATATGCAGCACGTGTTTCTTTTTTGTCCATGTTTTACGGGGGTATATAAAGAAAGCAGAGAAGAGTAACGATGTAAGCTATCATGTATGTCGTAAACGGTGACTAGAGAGAGCAAACAAGAAGCTGGCTAACTGATCCAGTAGAAAACTCTAACTGCAAACCCCCAAAAAATTAAAAGGATATCTAGGAAGTTTTGGCGTAGGCTGAGGTCAAATATTAAATCGTGGGACCCCAAAAAAAAAAAAATGCCTCAGATTTTTAACTGGCCAGACGTGTGGATATTTCTTGGACAGATGTCTGTTAGGATATTTCGTGTTTTCTTGTCTGTAATGATAACATTGCTTATTAACGCCATGTGCTGATGAAAGTTTTCTAGTCGCAACGTCCATGTATATTTCATGATTGTAATAATATAAAATTGACTAGTTGTGCTTCTCGTTTGGTTTAAAATTTCTTCATGAAATAAAGTGTAGGATGCATCAGTATCTCACAGAGCCTCTTCCTTCTTCTGTTCCTCTTCTTTTTTTTTTTTTTTTTCTTATCCAACTTCCTATCCTGCTGCTGCTTCTGCTTCTGTTGCTGCTTCAATCGCTATTAGCATCATATATGTCGTCGTCCTGAAATGTGCATTAAAACATTTTGGTGGATTTAGGAGTTGCAGCAGGACTGTGTATCTTTCTACATTCTAACAATGAATAGAGACAGACACCCAAGCGATGTTTCCTCACTGGGCTACTGAATCATCGAAACCTTGATTGTGTAAAACAAAGGTCACCTGAAAAGTTGCTGCATCTAAATAACTGACAGCCACAAACTGCAGGTTGTTTTGCACCGTATACAGCACAGCTGGTACACAACATCTGATGACGTCATTGCCCAGGGAGATTAAATGCGAAAGTAATGACCTGAAACCAAATGAAAACAATAATTGGATTTAACGTTAAAGAACATTTCACCTTTTGGAAAAGCCTTCATGCACTTAAAGATCCT